GATGAATTCCCAACCCCTTGAGGCAGAAAAGGGATGTCTGCTTGGTACATGTCCCGTTACTTGTAATGTGGAGAGGACCACTGTTACTGGTACTAAGGGCCAATTCCTCTCCAGTCCTTTCACTTATATAAGGGTTGAGGAACCACTAGAGGATGTGTGCAGCCAGGAAGATCTTGGGTGCACAGCTGCAGGCAGAGAGTGCACCTTATAACAAGAATAAACAACAAAATGCATAGTGTTGCAATTCCCCTCCAGTGGACTGTAAAAGAAGCATTCAATGGCCTCTGAAATACTTGTGTGCGCGTGTTTACGCACATACTTTGGCTGGAGGGACAAGCTGGAGCTTCCAAGAAAGCAGGATTTTTTGGGGGGGACGGGGGACGGACTACACATTATATTGGCAAACAAAGGTTTGGTAGATCACAGGGGCAGAGAGGGTATTTGTAGAAAATAAAAGGCAGGCAGAAAGGCAGGCTTAATCTTTTCCATACCACTAGGTCTTCACTATAAAAGCCCTTTCTCTGCCCATATTTTTCCATCAGAAAAGGATCCAGAAATTTGGGGGGAGGGGGCTTGGGCTTAAAAGCTGTTGGTCTTGGAGAATTTGTGTGTGGGGAGGAAGGAATCAGCGGGTGAGGGAATGGTAAGGATTTGTCCCCTGCCCTACAAATGCTTCAACTTGGGACACTTCAAAACTCTCCCTTCTCAGGCAGCCTGGCCCTTACCTTCAACAGTGAATATGTGGATAGAGCTGGCTGTCAACTGGCCCAATCCATACTTTGAAAGCGCTCCACAAGCAGGAGAGGTGCTTTTTACTTGTGTGTTGACCCTGATTGTTCCCCCACCACCACCATTGATCAATGCCCCACAATACAAAAAAGAACCCCATGAGTAGAAGGGCAAGTTTTGTTGGGCCTTCATCAGGATAGGTAAAGGTAAAGGGAGCCCTGACCATTAGGTGCTCATCAGGATATAATTTCATAATTCCAAGGAAGCCCATCCAGGGTAGGGCAGGGTATAAATAATAAATCATCATCATCATCATCACCACCCCAGAGGCAAAGTGATTCTAATCATCAGGGGAAGGGCTCAGGGGCAGAACACCTGCTTTACAGGCAGAAGATCCTGGTTCAACCCTTGGCAGGTAGGGTTGAGAATATCCCCGAGAGAGCAAAACGGACCACTGGAACTAACTGACACTGTCACTTTAAATAACTCAGCAGTATCAAACAGAAACAGAGGCCATCCAAGTGCAGCATTATCCCATCATGAACACTTTAGAGTGTTCAAGGCACTTCATATACATTATCTTGTAATTATTACAGCAACCCTATAATGTAAGTCAATATCACTATATCCTTTTGCCAATGGGTTGCTTGGACTGAAAGAGAGAATGGTTCACATAAGGCTTTTTGGTGAGTTTGTGGCAGAGATTTGTAGCTCACATAAGCACTGATACAAAATTCAAATAAGAGAGGGTTACAGTTTACAAGTGTTGCAAAGGTGCGCAGCTATCTGAGATGATGTGGAGGACTGGCCACATTTCACTGTAATATGACACTGGGCCCAAGTGCTTTTCTGTCACATGAAACCCAGTCTACATAAAAAGCTCCCTGACATTGATATACACTGACTTAAAGGCAGAAAACAGGTATCTCCCTTTCTCTCACTCTAGCAGTCTAAACATAGTAGGGTCAGGTAATGCTACAATCAAGTTGGTAAAATCAGAATCTGGCACTCATAGGTTCAAGCTGCTGGAGTATAAGGGAAGATAAAATCACAAGCATGATGCAGAGCAGGAAAAAACCCTGTTGTGTTTATCCCCAGAAAAGAATCCCCAGAACCAGATCCTAATGAACTGCCAGTACCTAGAAAGAAGGAAGGGATCCCAAAGTTGCAAAAAGGTTTAAGGGATGTAAATGTGTTTCCAAGGCTCTGTTCTACATTTGAGTTTTGTTCAGTGTTATTTGGTTGTATGTGTACTTGTTTCAGAAAACAATAAAAGAGCCTGCCGGATCAGGCCAAGAGCCTATCTAGCCCAGCATCCTGTTCTCACAGTGGCCAACCAGATGCCTATAGGAAGCCCAAAAGCAGGACGTGAAGGCAACAGCACTCTTCCCATTTGTGATTGCCAGCAACTGGCTTTCACGGGCATATTGCCTCTGACAGAGGAGGTATAACATTATCAGCAAGGCTAGTTGCCATTGATATAGTCCTCTCCTCCATGAATTTGTCTAACCCTCTTTTAAAGCATCTGAAGTTGGTGGCCATAACTAATTCTTTTCAGAGCAAATTCTGTAGTTTATGCACTGTGATGTGACGTTCTTTCTTTTTTCTGTCCTGAATGTTAAGAGAGAGAGCACAACGTTCATTCCATCAATTTTCTCTACACCATGCAGAATCTTATACATCTCTATCACGTCTCCTCTTACTCACCTTTTCTCTACACTAAAAAACCCAAAATATAATTTTAGAAATAAAAAAGGCTTAAGTAGTCCCAATGTAGAGGATAGCATATGCACCTTGATTTGCAATTAAATAGGAATTTTCAGCATACAGAGTTTGCATGGTGTAATCTTGCCTTTTCTCCCAACAGATAACCTAAGGTGGCATGCACAGGGTTTTCAGGCAGTATCCCACTCAGACACCAATCAATACCAGAATTACATAGCCTCAGCAAGGCTAAGCATTTTATGCCTCAAACCAGATGCTAGAGCCAGTATGAATGGAATTTAGGGAACTATGAGTATTATTAAACAGAGAAACTCAGGTTCCAATACTCTCTCAGCCACAAAGCTCACTGGGTGACCTTGAGCCAGTCACTCACTCTCTCCGCCTGGCCTGCCTCATAAGACTGTCATGAGGATAAGGGGAAGAAAGGGAATGATACCACTCTGAACCTTGTGGGAGAAGCGCACAATAAACGTGTAATTAATTAATAAATAAGCCTATGTGCCTTTCTCCAGCCTGGAGGATTCCCGCCCCCCTTCCACTACTACTCCACTATACAGAAGCCACAATTCTCAGTCACCTCGGGTTTGGGAAACGCAGCAATATGCACAAGTATAACTCAGCTAGCCTCGCACAACCCACACAAGCCTTAGTAGCCCAATTACGGTGACCAACTAGCCAGGAGGGGGAAACCTGCCTGTCCGGCTCTTATGCCTTTAACAGAGGCTTATTTTGCAGGAAAGAGCAGGTGAAATTTGGGGGGAGGCATAGAGATAACATACTAGCACCCGCTAATGGCCGCAGAGCAACCCAGTCATTGGGTCAGTTCAGCAGCTGGCAACCCTGGTCCCAATTCCATCCTACCATACCGCGCCGCGGTTCCCCCTCCCCCTTTTTGCATCCTTTTCTCTCCCAAGCCGTCAGAACTCCCCGCCGCTCGCCGACGACACTTACTTCCTCCCGCTACTCCTTCTAGCAGGCATAAAAGAAAAGAAAGAGCCCGCTCCTCTTGACATTCAAGCCACTTCCGGGTGCTACAGGCCGGTTGCTAGGAGACGCAGTCCGTTCCTAAGAGCGCTCCGTAAAGTCCTTGCCTAATTGCGTTCCGGACGGACCCCCCGGTCTCCTGAAGTGGCGTTCTGTTTGATTGAGTTCATTGTTTTAAAAAGGGCAGCAGATTCCTGAGGTTTCCGGTAAGAAATTCTACCAACTCATTTTAAAACAATTTATTTCGTCCCATTTAGCGGCCCGGTGTTTTTTTTTGCCAGCTCTTTTTTTCCTACGAACATTTTCAGTATCCCCAGCTGTTGAGGAGGGAAATCTTTTCTAAGACTTTAAAAGAAATATGAGAGAGCTAATGTACCTTTGATCTATTTATATTTACTAATTAATCTGAAGAATTTACAAGCCACATGCTTTCAGAGCTGCTTACAATAAAATAGCAGAACAATAAAAGAAATCCACTTAAAGATATCAGGTGATGCCAAAATGCAAGCAGATTCTGTACTAAGGCAGTACACCCCAAGCTAGCAAAGCAAAAACAAGGTATTTTATATCTGACATGAATTTGGCCTGTGATGTCATACTGACCTGATCAAGCCTAAAGTATCCCAGAAGGTAGAACAGGTTTATAAACAGCAGAATACTCTTTCCCGCTCCCAAGAGTAACTATCAGTAATTTCCTCTACAAAACTGGGGAAGGCATACAAAATTCAGCCGTTGTATACCACACCCCTGGGTGGAACCCATTCTTTCCCTCCAAGTCAATGTCTGCATCTCCCTTCTTTTTGATAAGCTTCATCTCTTCTATTAATTCTGAGAACTGTAGCTTGTGCCTTCACATTTCTGTTGGAAGCTGATAGCACTAGAAATTTGTTCTGTGCCTTCCTGTATGTCTTATTTGCAACCATCCATAATAAGCAACTTCACCCATGTGAGTGAGGGATGTGGGTGTTTATCACATTCATTGTATTGTTTTTGTTACCTGTTTTTGAAAACAAATTCCTACCAGGTCATTAGTCCAAAGGCCGAGCCTTTCCTGCCCAGTGGCCAACCATATGCCTGTGGAAAGCTCACAAGCAGGACTCAAGGGCCATGTAGCTCTTCTGCTGGGTTCTCCCAGCAACTGGCAGTCAGCAACTGGATATACTAAATTAAGGAGAAAAGTCTGGATTTTAGGTTAGTGCATTTGGAATAATAAGGTGGTCATGTGTGCAACTTTAGAGCCCTCTATTTGCAGGCATTCTCTATTGAAATAGAGGAAGATGTTAATAAGCAAAATGCTGACAAAGCAACACATGCATGGATCATTTAAACATTTTCTGCCCTTATTTTCCTATTGCTTCATCGTAATTGCATTTATCAATGTATCCCTTTACATTCCTCACAAATGAAGTTAGTCACAATTTAAAATATGAAATGTAGACAGCATATATTTTTGCTCTGAAAGTAAACCCCAAATTGCCTCCCAGTTAATATGGTGCAATATGTGGCATCCATTTCTAAACGTTATGAATAAAAACAAAATAAATAAGACAAGAAACAGTGGGGAGTCTTTGACCTCTTTTATTACTTTGACCTTCTGAATGTCCCGCTATGGTCTGTGATCAGATAATTTTATTATAATTTACTCTAGTTGTTAACATTACCAGTGACAAATATAATTCAGCTAATCTTACTTTTCATGAAAACATACATTAGAGAAAACTTTCTCTTTAATAATAATGGCATGTCTGTGGCTCCTAAAAGGCTCTGGCTCTTTAGAAGAACCAGGTTTCTTCCTCAAGGGCTATACTGGGCCAGCCCTACCATTGGGCAGGGTGTGACGGTCACTGTTAGATGCCAGGGGCAATGGCTGGTGTTGGAGGACAGAACTATATGAGCTTCACAGCCTGCCCTGTAGCCCCTAAGCTAGCTTCAGATGTGGTAGTACAGCCTTCACCAACCAAGTGCCCTCCAGCTGCTTTGGACTACAACTCCCATGCCAGCTAGGGCTAGCCACAAAGGTTATGTTCTACCTCTGCTGTCAGTGGCAGTATGCCTCTGAATACCACTTGTTGGGAATCACAGGTGGGTGATTTAAAATCATTTTAAAACAAATTGCAGTCAAGAGAATAGCACGGGCCCTAAAACTATATATATCACGTGTCAAAGGCCAGGAAGAAGGTGTGTCTTTGGCATAATGAAAGTGCCAGTCGCATCTCTGTGGGGAGGAAATTCCACAATGTAGGGGCTGCCACAGAGAATGCCCTCTCCAGGCCACCTTGAACTTCTGAGAGTACTGGAACTACCAAAAGGGCCCCCTCTGCCAGTCATAACATCCAAGATATGGATATGGGTCAGATATCGGGATCTAAGCTGTTTAGCTCGAGTCCACCATGTGACAAAGGTGTAGTTTGCTGCAGCAAGTCCTTTTGAGTGCTAGAAAAACTTGGATAACTGACTGTACTGTCAGATGAGGTAGTGTGGCAGAGGTCAATGCAGAAGATGCCTGGAGGTGAATTATGGAATAATCCTACTCTGCTCTCCCTCTAGGTGTTAGGTTTGGACTGTCACTAGGTATACAAAGATTGTCAGAGCTGTAATGGGGTCTCACACGGTACTTGAAGACTTTGACATAGTTATCTCCACTATCGGCAACTAACAGCAACCCCTGGGTGGAACAAGCTATTCCCATTGGTCTCTGCAGACCTTTAGATACCAGGCAGATGGGAGACCCACTCCTGGGAAACAAGTGGACTTTCTGGTGCTGTTCATCAGCCACAATGATGTTGCCTTCTCTATCAGCGCAGACCCCGGAGGGATTGCCAAAGCAGTGGCCATATTTGCTGCTGATGGAAGAGACCAGTTTGTGGTTGCTACTGAAGAGCTTGACATCACCACATTCTTCACTCACCACAAACCCTCCTTCTGGGGCCAAGCACACGTAGCGTGGCCCACGCAGGTTGGAGACAGAGTGGGTGCTTTGCACCTTGAAAGCACGGTCAAGGGCAAAGCTATGAACTTTTCCTTCCGTGTAGTCGGCCACCAAAATCTTTCCAGATGTATCCACTCCAATTCCCCTGGGGGAACAAAACTTTCCAATTCTTAGCCATTCTCCCTTGGAGAACTTGGAGTGGTTGTTGAAGATGCGGACAGTCCCATTGACCAGGTCTGTAATTGCCACCATCCCTGCCCTAGTCACGGTCACGTCCTCTGGCAAAAAAGTCTCATTCTTCTTCCATTCCACACATGGTATAGACTGAAAAGTTTGGCCTGAGCGGTTGAGGAAGTGAACCCTTGGTGCATTTTCACTAGTCATGTAGATAAGGCCATCGAGTGAGCAGTGAATTCCACACACACCTCCATAATGGTTGCCGTTGGGGTTTGGGATCTGCTGCACCAGTTCATCTTGCCGGTAGTAAAGGGAGTTTTTGATATTGTCCAGGTCATGGCAGATGACCTTGGCTTTCTCGGCCAGCTGGTGCACTTGGTGTTCTGTCACCATGCCTGTACCAGGGTGGCTGTTCAGGAGAGGGCTGGCTTTCTGAAATGTGGCATCTGATTTAACTTGGAGGGCATAAACAGTCCTCAGAAGTTTCTCCTTCCGTTGTGTGTCTTCCAAGGTATAATCCATCCTTTCCCCCTTTCAAAAAGACAAACCACAAGCAGTTTTCAAAAATATAATGCAGTTTGTATGTTGCTATTATGAATATATGCATTTTTATGCACACAGTACCCTAGTGCTTGGCTGGAGAACAGCATTGCAAAATTTAAAGAAGTGCAAATCTCAAAGGATGGTGCTGTTTCAGTCTGTGTATTGTTTAAATGTGGTTTAAGCAGCCTCACCTTTAAATGTGAACTGAATCATATTTCTCCCCCATGCCCCTACCCTTTGCATACTTTTAACCCTGCCACTCCCCCAAACTGCAAAAAGTCCAGGATTCTTTTTATTTTTGTATACACTACATGCTTAAATCACCTTTGAAGCTCATTATTTCTCTCAAATAATTCTGGACACAGTACTTGCTTAAGGGTTTGCTGGGAATTGCAACTCTGCAAGGGGCAAACTATAGTGCCCAAAATTATTTGAGGGGGAAAATGGGCTTTGAATGGATTTTAAAGGCATAGTGTGTACACAACCCTAAATTTCCCGTTTGTGATTAAATCCCTCCCACAGAATAATGATAGACTGGAGGTGACATAAGAAACCCTTTTGGATCTACTGCAAATCACTATCCATCTTCCAATGGATCCAACTCTATCTAATACCACCTTTTGAGCTGAGCTCAAGCTTTTGGGTGGCACTGTGGGTTAAATTGCTGAGCCAAGGGCTTGCTGATCAGAAGGTCGGTAGTTTGAATCCCCACGACGGGGTGAGCTCCCGTTGCTCGGTCCCTGCTCCTGCCAACCTAGCAGCTTGAAAGCATGAAGTGCAAGTAGATAAATAGGTACCGCTCCAGCGGGAAGGTAAATGGTGTTTCTGTGCGCTTCTCTGGTTTGCCAGAAGCAGCTTAGTCATGCTGGCCACAAGACCCAGAAGCTGTATGCCAGCTCCCTCAGCCAATAAAGTGAGATGAGCGACGCAACCCCAGAGTCGTCTGTGACTGGACTTAATGGTCAGGGGTCCCTTTACCTTTACCTTACTTCTGTTCTGGGGAAAACAGTTTTGAGCAATCCTGGGGTTATGGACTTGCTGAGCAGTGCAGGGTATTATCTGTCACCCAGGTGCCTAGACCATTAGCCCAAACTGCCAGACTACAGGCTCAAATAGTAAATAGTCTTAGCTGAAGTAGGGAAGAAAGCTTAGGACTACTTACCTGTGATCAAAGTTGCCCAGACTGTTCTCTTTCCCCCCTGGTTTGCAAACTGCTCTATAGAGAGACTTAGAGTATTATCCTGTTTCCCTTCAAATATACCACTGAGATAAGTTTCCCAGGGCTCTGTTGTTAGTGACAGGAATTTGCTGCCCATTGGTTGTGTCAATAGGATTGTTTTGCCAGGGTAAACACAAAGGCACTCAAGTTAAAATGGACAAGAGCCCAGGGGCAGCCCATCCTGTTTTGCCACCTAAGGCAAAACAGGAAGGTGCTGCCCCTGCCCTGCAACCAAAGCCTTACTTATCACGGTTGTGGGGCTGGGGCTTCTGACTTCTGGTAAGATATTGCAAGAGGTCCAGGAACCCGGAAGCCACCCACCGTGACCCAACGTGTATTTTGCACAAGCAAGAGTTGCAAATGCATCTCCTTTCCTCTCAGTTCAGCATCCCCTGAGTTGCTGGGTCTGCACGTTTTGAGTTGGACCTATTTCTTCAACAGTGGTGAAATGAAATAAATAACTGAAGTTGACAAGTAAATAGGCCTGTCTCAGCTGGACAGTGGGAAGGCTGTGGGAGGCTTAAAAAAAAAAAGCATCTCCCACGGCAACGGACTCTGACCTTTTGTTGTTGCTTTAAACGCTGAGATAAACAAACATACCAACTAGGCCTCTGGCGCCCATTCACCTTTCTGAGGCTGAAGGCCTGTCAAGGCATGTTTAAAAGCCACCCCCAAGCCTCTAGCGACACCTCGGCCATGGGTTTGTTCGTGCTTAGGCTCTCTTTGCCTCCAGTGGGAAGCACAAAATGGTCTCCTATCACCTCCATTTCTTATCTACCGCCTGTAAGGCAGGGTGTGTGCGAATCCATTTATTATATTTTTGTGCCAGCTTCACGCTCACAACAACAGCCTTGTGAGGTTGCTTAGGCTGAGAGAGAAATAATGATTGCCATCCGATCAACCAGTGAGCTTTGCTGTTGCTGTGTCGGAGCTTTGAACCCAGGCCACCCGGACCCTGGTCTATATTGCCTTTGAGAGCATAAGGAGACACAGCCATTGGGGCTAGTAGCCACTGATAGCCTTCTTCTCCATGAATTTTCCTAATTGGCTTTTAAAGCCATCCAAGATGGGAGCCCTCACTACACTACCAATAAGGCTGTTGAAATAATTGCTGAGACAACATACAAGGAAGCACTAGAAATTATGTAAAGCAGGGGTGGCTAACCTTTGGCCTCCCAGATGTTGAGGGGCTACAACTCCCGTTGGCCCTGACCATTGGCCAAAAACATCTCAAGGGCCACAGTTTGCACACTTCTGCTGTACCTGCTACATTACATTGGCTTTCTTTAATAAAGCTGATCTGTACATGGTCCCCATGAGCCAAAGTAGTGTCTTGGGGTATAGGCTGAGGACTGTGAACAGGTAGAGAAGCTGAGGCATGGAGAATGAAGGAGGTGTATGGGAAAGCTCCTGTGGTGCCTTCAGGGAAGGCAGGACGGGGCTGAAATTCAGGGTCCCTCTCAGGCAAGTGAGCAAGAGGGCACCCAAATGCTTGCCACATTTGAAAGCAATACTCATTTGCATTTAAATGTGGAATATGAATTATCCCAGTAGATATTGGATTTGAATTGATTTTCTGTATGCACTGTTGATGTTTTAAACTGTTTATATAAATGTGTTTTAAAAATAAACGCAATGAGGAGGACTCGAAAGAAACCTCATAATGCTTAAGATTCTCATTCTTACCATACGGTGCTTCCAGAAGAGGGCTTCATACTGTAAATGAGTCATTCAGGTATCACAGAAGGGTGGTGACAGTGTTGTTGTTTTTAATTAAGAAAATCAAATTTATTTTCTTGAAGCTGGTAAATCTGGATTAAATGGGGTAGGGAGAATAAAGGCTGACACGTTTATGTCACTAAGATCATGTGGATGCAGAAACGAAAGGAGAAGAGAAGAGAAGAGAAGAGAAGAGAAGAGAAGAGAAGATGTGTTTGAGAAACATCATTCCATTATAAATACAGGCCTGGAAGCACCTCCTAATTTCTAAATCCAAAGGTTTTGTTGCAGTTTCAATGATGACCACTAGAAGGATCCATCAGTCCAACTAATAAATGAGAGAACGTAATGTAAAAACTATTGAGTGTATTGAGTGCTGGATGTGGGTGTTGGTAGGGGAACTTGCACACCTTCATTGCAATGCATATTTTAAAATGAGAAATCCAGCACAAAGCAAAATGGGGATATACGAAGAGTAGACATAAATTAAGTTATGCATTAATGCATTTAATTTGGAGATAAGGAGGAAGCCTATCACTATCTGAGGAATGGTATTTGGAATAGTCATCGCAGGGGAATCCATGGAGAAAGAAATGGATTATTTTTTAAAAGTGGAATAAATGTATGAGTGATTTTCTCAAATCATTTTTAATTTGATTTTTCAGGTATCCCTCCTTTGAGCATCATAGGGCTTTGTGGTGGTTTAAAAATAATAAAAAAAATCCTGACATTTTAGGAACAGGATTGTTTCCACACTAGAGTCTGTTAGCACTGCTGAGGCATGATTTTTCCACAACCAGCCGGGAGCAGAGTTAATATGGATGTTTTGCACTGCACTTAATATAGTGCAATATTATCCACCTTTGTCCCACCCCTGTGGCCATGAGTCTTCAGTAATGTTTACTCAGGGCTGGGGACCCCTGTCCAGCAAATGGCCCACCATCTCTTTGAGGCAAAGAATGTGCTTCAAATGTGCTTTAAAGGTATACAGCACTTTGTATACAGCCTAGAGAACATCTTTCATCCCAACAGCCAGGGTGGTTCATATCCCCATGCAGCCATCAAGCTTCCTAGGTGACTTTGGCCAGTACCTCTCTCACAGACTAAACCTACCTTATTGTGAAGATAAAATGGGTGGTGGTGGTGGTGGTGAGAACCATGTATGGTGCCTTAAGCTCCTTGGAAGAAGTGTAGGAGAGAAGTGTAAAAAAAAAAGAAAAAAGAGTTCTATACCCCAGGGGGAGAGAGGTTAATCCAGACTTGGTCTTTTCTCCCTCCTGCACCTGCTCTGGGGTGCCTCCAGATAATCAGTTTTTTTGTGAGAGGGATTCAGTCACATACTGTAAATATAGGTTTGTGCAATTAAAGTGGATTAAAGCACTCTCTTGCAACAAATCCACTTTTTAAAGGTTGTTTTGTGGTTAGGAAAGTGCTAAAGAAAGTGTGGAATAACAAGTAAATTGATGGAAAGATGTATAACCTCTACACAAATTCAGGATGCGCACTCCTTGTCTTATAATCCTACCCCCCCCCCAATGGATTAGAACAAATGCTGAATAAAGAACAGACATTGTATAACCTCCACATAAACTTTGAGCAAGCAGTTCAGGGTGAATGCTCAAAAAACAATGGTCTGGGGGAGCCCAAGGTTTTCTTCTGCCTTTGCCCTTCTCATTTGACCCATTTGTCCACCCCAGAGACCCAAATGCAAACGTGAGACAGGTGCTCTTGTTGGTATGGGAGACTGGGACAAGGCAAGCTTCCTTCTTCGTTCACCTGAGACCAACTCAGATGCCTATCAGCTAGGCTGTACCATAAAGGAGAAGTAATGGCTGACTATCAGATTTCCTTAGGTTGACCAAATAACCATGTAATGTGGCTGGCACTGGAGCAAGCTGGGTGTCCTCAGGGCATGATCTGAGCAATGATAAGTCTTGCAAGTCGCTCAACTCCTATCCAATTATCTAAACACAAAGGTAAACACTTTGCTTTTTGAACTTGAAATCTGACTGCCTCACTCCACGCTCTCTCCTCCAGTTCATAAGCAGGAAAGGTTCTTCCTCCTCCATTGTTTCATTTGCCCAGCAGCTATGTTGTTGCTGTTCTCAGAAAACGGTTTTTTTAGTATTCATATCAGTATTACTATTGCTACTAGTTAAGAGCAAGGAGTCCAGGCGTGGAGGTGCTTTGCTGTTCCACATCTTCTTACTGACTTACCGGGTGACCTTGGTAAAGTTGTCTTGTGTTGGAGCCTGTGGGCCTCTCCTCCAGACTCCAGTGTGTGTATTCTGCAAACGCCATTGTGTGATCAAATCCACCATGTGTTGATGGCCACCTTATAGAGCGATTATTATTCTTTAAAGCCAAGGGAGGTATCTGCCCTGCCATGAATTGTGTGGAGACAATAGAGCAGGGGAACTGCCATCAGATCTAATTTTAATTTTAATTTATGTGGCAGGAGGATACTTTTTTTGCCAAGATTGTGGCCAAGGAGGGAAAGCTGAACCATGCTCCCCCCAACTCTGCTACTTTTGTTCAGTAGGAAGAGGCATCAGCAGGATTCAAGGATACCTTCTGGGCAAAGGTACTCAAAGCAGGAACAGTGAGAGTCCTGAGGACCAGACAGAGAGACCTGGAGGGTCCCAGCTGGCCCCAAACCTGAGGTTCTCCATCCCACATGTAACATGTGCTTATGCCCTTCAAGAACAACAAAAGAATGAGATCCGACAAATTCAGCATGTGTAGCCTTACTGGTCACATGCAGTCAGGACAAGGTAGATCTTCTGGCCCGATTATCAGCTTTAAGCACCATGTGATCTTAAGACAATGATCAGTGGATCAGTCAGGTGCTGCTGCTATTTGCACTTGGAGTGAATCCAGGCTCTTTGCAGTAAACCAACAAAGGCCAATGATTCAGAGAAATGAGGCGATTGCCATCACCAGTTTAGGAAATACAGTAGTACCTCGGGTTACAGACTCTTCAGGTTACAGACACTTCAGGTTACAGACTCCACTAACCCAGAAATAGCACCTCAGGTTAAGAAGTTTGCTTCAGGATAAGAACAGAAATTGCGCGGCAGCCGCACGACGGCAGCGGGAGGCCCCATTAGCTAAAGTGGTACCTCAGGTTAAGAACAGTTTCAGGTTAAGAACGGACCTCCAGAACAAATTAAGTTCTTAACCTGAGGTACCACTGTAGGTAGGTAGCCGTGTTGGTCTGCCGTAGTCGAAACAAAATAAAAAAAAATCCTTCCAGTAGCACCTTAGAGACCAGCTAAATTTGTTATTGGTATGAGCTCATGGAAGCTCATACCAATAACAAACTTAGTTGGTCTCTAAGGTGCTACTGGAAGGATTTTTTTTTTATTTTGTTTCGGTTTAGGAAAGACAGTGAAATTAATCTTAGCCAGTGTTCTGCAGGGCTTAGGGTGAGAATGTGTTTCTAATAATGAGGCTTAGCCAAATATTAGACAAGTCTATTACCAAAGCTTTAACAGCTAAATGGCTACCATAGTGAAGGAATGTCCAAACATTTCAATGTGCTGGGAGTCCAAGTGGGAGCTATTGGAGAGTGCTCTCGCTCAAGGTTCCACCCAGCCAATTCTCTTTCGGGAGATTCCATTCCATTCCCCAGTTGTCCATTCTCCCTGAACAGTCAGTTAGCAATTTTGTGCCCACTAGTCACACCTGGTCTTCATTCAACTGTTTTCAGGGTTCCCCCTTAAGTAACAGAGACCAGATCCATCAGTCACACTTGAACTTCTCGTTACAAGGACTACTATTGAATTTTTATGAATTGGCGCCCAGGTTTGCCCCCCCTCCCCGTTTGTGTCATGCTGTTCAGGTGGTAAATCTGCAGACAGTGACTGCCCATCTTGTTTTAATTGACTGGTTGTAAGCTGTTCAGGTACAACCTGGGTACAAACGCTCTAAATAAATTATATATACGGCCTGCTAATACCTCTCTCTTGGGTGATGCTGTTTAGGCAAGAGATAAACATCAGAAGGAGAGGGAATGATCCATGTTACTTCATTGCAGAGGCTGCCTCTGCAACAATAGCAATAATAACCCTAGCAAAGAGATCAGGCTATTCACTTCCACTCATTTTTTAAAATTTAATTTATTTATTTTTTACATTCTTTAGACCTGTGGACAATAAATAACACATAATACTCTTTATCCCACCCCCACCCCAGTGACATCCCTCCCCACAGCACCATACACTATAAATAAATAAATATAGCATGTATCATTTATTCACCAGTGTTTTGCCATTGACTGATGCACGAAGTGCAGTGGGGTGTTGTCCCAGCATTGGTGTTTGAGTGACTGTTGCATTTCATGGGTGATTGTGGTGGTGGTGGTGGATGCTGTGATAGGAAGTGTGGGCAAACAAGACAAGGTTGTGGCAAACTCTGGACGTGCCTCCTCTCACCCCAGCATTTGGATGTTCACAGCTTAGCTTTTCAAATCGCGGAAATGTCCTCCTACTTTAACATCGCTAGTAGAGCACTTTGCTGATAGACAGCGTGGCCTCCTCTGCACCACACACTTAAAAACAGTAATTATACCACTTAAAACAGCCATGGCTTCAAAGAATCCTGAGAACTGTAGTCTGTGAAGTGTGCTGAGAGTTGTTAGGCGATTCCTTGTTCCCTTCAAAGAGCTCCAATTCTCAGAGTGGTTTAACAATCAATCCCTCTTCCCAGTAAACATTGGGAATTGTAGCTCTTAGAGGGGATATGGAATCGCCTAACAACTCTCAGCACCTTTAACAGACTACAGTTCCCAGGATTATTAGAGGGAAGTGGTCCTGCTTTCAATGTAAAGTGCAGATGGGGCCTATGTCATCCACTGTCAGCTTCCAGATTTTGTTGGAGGGCAATGGGGTGAGGGACCTCCAGCCTATGAGCATCATCAAGCCTCCCCATGTAGCCTGCAAGGCTGTTTTGGCCAAGCCATATTCAGCTGCCCTGCACCTGATGTCACATATTATGTCAGGTGTGAAGCAGGTAAAGGTGCAGCTTGGATGAACAAGTGCCTGCAAAGCCCCTTGCAAGCGTTTCTGAAGCACCAGCTATCATCTGATTGGGGAGTGCTTTTTTTTGCAAAGCACACCATTAAAAATAGGTTACCTGGTGTCATTTTGACACCAGGTGATTGGCAGGTGGGCAACCCTACCTGCCTGTCAAATTTAGCCTAGCCCACAGGCTGAATGTAGCTTCTCATTCCTGGACCACACCTGGGATGCTGAAAGCTGGCCACAGGTTCCCCAACCCTGGCCCATGTGATAACATTTAGCACACATTAAACTACTTTTGGGCTCTTAGCTTGACATCCTTTCCTGCAGTTGTGATCCCTTATTCCTGTGCATTAGGTAAGAGAATATGGCAGGTCCTGCCTTTGGAAAGGCATTCCTTACAAATGGTTGGAGACACACACACACACACACACACACACACACACGAAGAGCCCTGCTGTATTGGAAGAATGGTTCCTATTGTCCAGCATCCATGTCTTACAGTGGACAACCAAATGCCTCTGGAAAACCTAAAAGCAGGACTTAGTAGTTATTGCTCCCTCACAGTGGGCATTCAGTGGTATACTACCACCGACTCCAGAGTTTCTGTGTAGCCACCATGGAGCTAGGAGCTGAAAGTTGTTTGAGAAAGTTGCCCATGGTGCACATGTTTTTATCACTCTCCAAAACCTGCAAACCTCCTTTTTCGTGCCCAGAAGTGGAGGCCACAGCCCTGTAGCAAAGTGTCTGCTTGGTGTATGGAAGTCAGCAGGTTCAGTCCCTGGAAGCCACAGGTAGTAAGTAACCTTTTCCCATGGTTAATTTGATGATGAGGCTTTTGAGTTTTATCTGTGAGTTTTCCCCGACCTTCCTGCTTCTATGGTACAGCAAAAGCATTTTTATTTTTAGTGCCTGCCTTTACCATACTGTATTTATGGTTCTGATGAATGTTAAGCTGGCTTGGTGAATCTTTGAATGGTGAAGGCAGCGAAACAAAAATCCATTATATTTCATTAATTTGACATGTCTTGAAAAGACAATGGACTGAGATCTTGGAGAGCTGCTGTCAATCAAACCAGATAGTGCTTGGTCAGATGGGATAATAGTCCAGCTTGATGTAAGGCCACTTTTTGTGTATTTGTGTATCCCTGATATGATGTGCATAATGCCATCTCCCTCATGCTGCTTCCAGCTCTCTAGAAACAAAAGAACAAAAAACCCAACCCAGTTGCCTACCTTGGATGCCGTTGCCAGCAGAGTGCATCCAGACTGTTGCTATTTTAGGGTGGGATTCAATCACATGCCAGCATATTCAGGATGTGCTATTATAGCTGATTGGGAGCTCATGCACAACAAACCTGCTTCCTCAAAGAATCAGGCTTATGTGTGTTAAGGAAAGTGACCAGAAAGTATGAAATGATACTTGCTTTTGTTGCAATGCGATCTAACCTCCCTGTAAACAAATCAGGATGAATATTCAATAAACAGGTCATCTGGAAATACCCACTGTGGATACAGCCTTGAATACAGTTCTGTTCCATAATAGTCTCTGCTGACAATTGAACCACATCGTTAGCCTGTGTTGTGTAAGTATGGTGTTTTTGTTTGTTTTGTTTTGTTTTAAAGAAACGAAACGAAAGCAAAACTAGCAAACAGCTTCTGGCATTCTAGTGATGTAAACAACACTTCCGGCAAACTAACACATTATGGTAAACTCATATTCTTCTGTATTCAGGTAGGTAGCCGTGTTGGTCTGACGCAGTCGAAATAAATAAAAAAATTGTCCAGTAGTACCTTAGAGTCCAACTAAGCTTGTTCTGGGTATAAGCTTTTGTGTGCACACACACTTCTTCAGATATGTATCTGAAGACAATACTGGACAATTTTGTAATTCATATTCTTCTATGTGTAGAATAACTGCAATGTGTGTAATATCCCTTATGGAATAAGACACCATGCTGATGCCTTCACTGTCTTCACATGGTGTTCACTGCCTCCTCAGAACCATGGGCTAGGCCAAGAAAACTCCCTTCCCTCCCGAAATCTCAAAATGCTGCCATCTCCCAGGGCACTGTGCAGAGATAGAAAACCTGTGACCTTCCAGATGTTGCTGGACCCCCAACAATCAGAGTCCTGGACTCCTTCGGGAGGTTGTGCATTCTTCTTCATTGGAGGTTTTTAAGGAGAGGTTGGATGGCCATCTGTCACGGATGCATTGCAGGGGGTTGGACTCGATAACCCTTGGAAGTCCATTCCAACTCTTATGATTCTAATAACAGTGGAAGGCTACAAGTCCCCATCCACCATCCCTGACATAGGACTGCATAAAGACAAGCAGTAATTTTGAACACTGTCACTTCTTTAAGCAGATGGGAGGGCTGGGGAATTGCTATGGGATCCTTTGTCTAAACTACAAGCTTGTGTCAGTTCTATACCAGTTTCAGTGGCTTGGTTTCCAGCAAAGAATCCTTGGAAAGTGTTGCTTGCTGTGAATTCTATTGGAGCTAAAATTCAGGAATGCTGAATCTATAACCCTCCAGATATTTTTGGGCTACCGTTCCCATCATCCCTACCCATCGGCCATGCTGGCTGGGGTTGATGAGAGCTGGTGTCCAACAACATTGGAGGAACTCCAATTTCCCAATCCCGTGTAACTCCTTTCATAAAACTATAGGGACAGGACAGGGAATGATGCTTAAACCAGTTTAACAATTGAAGCTGTGAAGTAGAAAGATAACCACTTATCTGAATATTGTCAGGAAAGGGAAGCTTTTAAAATTCACATGAAGAAAAGAATTGTGCTTTTTAGTTGTGCTAACAATGCTGGTGACAAGCTTCCCCAACATTTTCCAGTACTAAACCAGTAAGTAAGTACACACAAAACAGTGCCATACCACATTAAACAGTCACAGCTTCCCCCAAAGATTCCTGGAAACTTTAGATTGTTAAGAGTGCTGAGAATTGCTAAGAGATCCCTATTCCCTTCACAGGGTTATATTTCCCGGGGTGGTTTAACAGCCAGTCCCTCTTCCCAAGGAACTATGGGAGTTGTAGCTCTGTGAGGGGGATAGGGGTCTCCTAAGTAAGCTCCCTACAAACTCTGTGGAACCCAATCCATGTGACTGCTTAATAAACAGGTAATCTGGAAGCGAGCCTTATCAGAAAATGTATCTTGCTTAGCTGATAAGGGAGGAAATGGGGCAGATCCCCTTCTTACACATGTCCTTGCAAAAGGCGTTGATCTCATTTGCTCCCCAACCATCTCCAGGTCTGAAGATTGGGGACACAATGAGAGGAGGACTTACAGGTGTGGATGGGACTTTCCAAATACAGCTCCATTTCATAAATATCTGAAAAGGGGACGCTATATGATCCACCTGGATTCCATGGCAGAAAGTTCAAGAGGCCATTGTGATGGGCAGGGCACCTTCCAGACCTCAAAGCCTTTTTCAACTGTTTGTTGGAGTTGGCGGGAAGAGTGTGGAAAGGAGTTTTGTGGGCAGGGAACATGTCGAAGCGCTCTGGGCAAGTGCAGACAGAGAGGATCACGGGTCTGTGTTTATAGGACTGTGGATGCACACCCTGTCTGTCTCGTTTGGCAGACCACATGACAGGGAGCGTGGGATGGCTCGACACCCCATTGTCGGGATGTCTTCGGTCACAGGAAGTGGTGGGCCTGGGTTGGGGTTGGGTCTCCCATCTGTGCACAGCAGGACACTGGAGTCTGCCTCACACTTGGTGGTACGGCTGTAATAGGGCTCCATCACGTGCCTGAGTTCTAGTGGGACAGTGAGTGGGAGCACCTCGGCTTTGATGACGGCTCCCAGGTGGGTGTCTGAAGAGGAGCTTCTCCGGAGAGCCTCTGAACGACTCATTTTGATCAACAGGTCAATGGTTTTGTTCTCTGTCTCAACAAGACGATCAGATGCCTCATCCTCTTCGCTAGCTTCACCCACCACCAAGCATCTATTGATGGAACCTGGATCTTTGTCATAGACCTTCCCAACACCAAGGGCATCCTTGGGTTCCTTCTTGTCCTGGTATCCTTTCTCCAAACCTTTTGAGGACCTTTTCACCGAGAGATCCAAAGGGCCCTCACTGGGCTTGGCTGCCTTCTCCAGCGCTTGATGGATATGGAACAGTTCCTGCCGGATTTTGATTAGCTGGTCCCTTAGCTGCTTCTGTGCTGGGCTGTCCTCTTTGGCCAGGTCCGAGAGCTTCTTCTCCACATCCTGATACTCCTCTAAAGTTTTGGACAAGTCACCAATGAGCACTGTTGTTGCCTCTGGGTCTCTCGGGTCAATAGTTACAGCTTCTGCTTTGCTTGGCTTGAGAAGTAGGTGGTCCGAAGGTGTAATTATGGGGGATAAAATGTCAGAGCCGCCAATCTTTTCCTGGTCTTCAGGTGGGCAGGCATGGAGTTCTACGTGCCAATGGTCCAGAGACTTTGAGGGTTGCATAGGGGCAGCTCTCAAACTGCTAAAGGTAGAGGGACAAAAAACAGACAGGGTGGAAGAGAACTGTTAATGAAGTAGTGCAAAAAAACAGAACAACATCTAAGGTAAAATAAGACCTCTCTAGTTTGGTTGAATGAGTTTGCAAGGGGCACTTCCAGATTGTAACTATTCTTGGGTGGGAATCAGTCACATCAACAAATTCAGATTGCAAAATTTAAATTGATTTGGCATTACCCTTTGTTTTGTGTTTTTCTCTGAAAGAGCACATTTTTTTGTACCATTGCCACTTTTTTTGTACAATATTTACATTCTGAAGTGTCTTCCAATTCTGAGCTACAATTGCTTCTGCAACTGAGAGTAAATGGACTCAACATCTCTTTATGATTAATGTTTAAATTTATATCCAGAAACACAGTGTTGGAGATGGATGTTGGTCCAGTGTTGACCAGCATTGGTCAATGTATCCATTGACCGGGAATCACATTGGTATCCTGGCATATCACCTTCCCAAACTCTTGCACCTGGGGCAATCCTACCACATGTGGAGGTATGTACTGACCAAACTTCACCCTCTCCAACATATAGGAGAAGCATTAGGGTTTAGCAAGGATAACTTCCTTGGTGCCAAATACCACTTTGGTAATATTTTCAATGACAGCTCCCTAGTAGCAGATGTTGTTTTGTATAGTGGCTGAACCACAGGGCATTGCAGCCTTTCATTTCCATGTATTCTTCAACAACCCTACCACCACCATTGCAATGAACTTTTCTGATAAGGGCAGCAAGAGGAACATCATATAATATTACATGATGTTGGCTATTTAATGAGCAATCTTTCTGATTTGTGTGCAGGGAGATTAGATTACGTTTCATCAAAGCAAGTGTCACCCCACACCTACCAGTGCAGTTTCCCAGCCACTTTCCTTATTGTAATCTTTGGGGAAGTGGGTTTGTTCTGCAAGAGCTCCCAGGCAACTCCCAATCAGCATCACCTTAATTTGCCAGTATGTGATTGATTCCTAGCCAAATACCACAGCAGCTTGAAGACATGCCCACAGACTTTTTGTGATAAAATAAAAATGGCTCAACTTCATCTAACATCCTCAGAAATGAATTGAGATGAAAGCTCAGTAAATAGCTGATGCCATCTAACCTCCCATCAGACCCTGTGCAAATAAATCGAGATGAATGCTCAAGGAACAGACTGTCTGGAAGTAACCAATGTGCCTAGTGGGCGGAAAGATACATGGTTGCCCGCTGCAAAACAGAGTAGGCAGTAACAGCCTGAATGGCCAAAGTGGCCTGACTGCATCATGTGTTCCAAACAACTCTAAGCTTTGCTTTAACAAGTCTCTGGTCTGTGTGCCCATCACTCAGCGTCAGGCCTGGACTCTGCAGCAGCCTGTTAAAATAGAGGTCCCTAGCTTGATAACCCCGGATGTAACCCTAATCCCATTCCCCACTTTATATTTGTATGTATACATATTGAGGAGAATTCATTTAAAAAAATAAAAGAAAAATTGCTTGCAAAGCTATAGTGCAGGAGTGGGAACCTAATTCAGCTCAGGGGCCATATTCACTTCCAAGCAACTTTCCAGAGGCCACATGCCCATTTGCGGCCAGAGGCAAAAGTGGGTGGAGCAATGGAAGTGAATGTTATCTTTGTACACTGGGCTTCTTTTACATATATACACCCCGGCCTCTCCTCCATCCGTGCAATCACAGTTCAAGGAAACATCCCAGCCAGGCAAAAAGGCTCAAGGATGGTATGAAGTAGGGCTGCTGAGGGGTGTGGCCTGGAGAGAGGGGGTGTGGCGGGAGAATCCCAAGAGCCAGACAGAGGCTTGGTGGGCTGCATTTGGCCCCTGAGTCTGAGATTCCCCATTCCTGCCACACAGGATATCTTACAAAGCATGTATTAGGGATGGAGGCTGTGTAGCGCATCATACCTGGCCTGGTATGTGACTTTTGCAGGAGTCAGTACATCAGAGCCTACAAAATCAAGGCTGTTCCCTGCAAATTTCCTCTTCAGGTTGCTGTGGTTGGTCCCTCCACTATCCAAGCAAGTGGCCATGGGTAGTTCTGCCTTCCTGACACTATTGGGGAGAAGGGCGGCTCCCTCTTTTAAACCTGCGATGCTCCGGTAGGCGTCAGGGACTGGCTTTCTGCACAGGCTGTTGACACCCAGGAAAGAACCGCTCTCCTTCTCACGGAGCAGCCATTTCTCTTCTTCCGTTTGGAGCAGCAACGCTTTGTGGCTTGTTTCTGGAGGAGGCGTCTCTTCCCGGAACCCTTTCACCCAAGGATGGCCGTTCTTCAGCACTGGCACCTTCAGCAGGCCAGTTTTGGGGGGCTCTGTGGGGGTTTTGGCCTGGGGAGGAGCGGGCATGGCAGCTGCAGGCTGTTGCTGGGCCTCAGGCTTGGCGGTGGCCATCTTGTTTTCTGCTGAACCAAAAGAATGCTCGAAGAGGAGCGGGTAGTAGAAGCGGGGCAGGAAGGCTGACCTCTCAGGGTTCTGCAGGGGCTGGAAATGAGCAGAATGGGGGTGCATCAGCTGGGCAGTGGAGGCCAGGAAAGGCAGCTGGGTCAGGTGGGAGTGTGGCGTGGTGCTGCTGGTCACAGAAGGGCTGAGATAAGAGAAGAGGTTGGGGTTCAATGGATAGTTGATCCCCAGCAAAGAGAGGTTGAGGCTCTGGGGTTCATGGTATTCACCGTATGCTGGCGGAGGATAACAGGGGATGATGTTGCCATCGGGGGACAGCGTTGGGACCTCGCTGGCACCTCTCCTTTGCCCGTTGGCTACTAGCTTCCATTGTTCCATCAGGACCCCCCCAGTCCCGGGACACTTTTTGGGCACTTTGCAATGCTTTGGTTTGGCTTCTAACTCCAGAGGGGAAGGCGGCTCTTTCCCCTTCACTACGTGCTTCTTCAAGGAGAAGACATCCGTGATGATGAAGTCTGGTGTGGGTTCTTTGCAAGGCTTATCCCTCTTATTTTTAAACCGAAAGAGCAAGGTGTTCATGTCAGGCTCTGCCGAGTCCTCCCCAGCAGGGCTGGCCTCTTTCGCCTTCTCCTTCTTCTCCCCGGAGTCCATGTCCTGCAGCAGCCCAGACAGCTCCTCCTCTTCCTCCTCCTCCTCCTCTTGGAACTGGTTGGTTTCATCACTCATCCTTTCTGAGGCCAGGTCTTCAGTCCCTGCAAGTTTGTCTCCGCTGCTCTCTCTGTCCGCTGCCTGCTTGTGGTTTGTGGTTCCAGTGGCCCCCGAGGCACGCATCTCGGGCTCATCAGACCTCCCGCGAGTCCGCGAAGCCTCTGTGGCATGCAGGAGCCGGAGATCCGGGTGCAGGAGGTTACCCTTCTTATAGGGCCAGTCCGACTCGATGAGCAGCGAGAGGGAGTTTTTGCACAGGCTGTACTTCATGTGGTTGTAAAGGTGGGATTTCTCCATGCAGGTGAAAGGGCACTGGAAGCACTTGTAGTTATAGGGCTTCCCCCATGGCCTGGGGATGTAGTGGGGCTTCTTGGGCTTGCGTTCTTTGTGCTTGTAGACCGAGGCCAGCTTACAGCCCGCTTCTTCCTTCGACATGGCTGCCCCCAACAACCCAGATCTCAAGTTATGGGGTGTGGGGCTCGAGGCATCCACGCCCGACGGCTCACCTTGCTGGAACCACAGCACAATCTGGAAAGAGATAGCACAAAGATGCATTAATAGACAATTGGCAAAAATGTATGAATCTAAATCAAATAAGTGCTGGAAATGTAAAGAGAAAGAAGGTTCTTTTTATTATATGTGGTGGTCTTGTAGAAAGCTTACTGGGAAATGATATATAATGAAATGAAAAGGATGTTTAAAATAACCTTTGTTTAAAAATCCAAGAAGTTTTTCTTTTGGTAATTATAGGGACAGAACTACCTAAAATGCATGGAAACGTATTCATGTATGCAACTACAGCAGCAAGAATGTTACTCTCCCAAACATGGAAAGAAGCAGAAGTCCCAGCAAAGGAAGAATGGATACAAAAACTTACAGAATACGCAGAAATGGTGAAACTTACCAGAAGAATAAGAAATCAAGATAACAAACTTTTTATAAAAGAATGGAAATGGTTTATTGAATATTTACAGATAAATTGTAAACGGATAAGATCATTGGCAGGATTATTGTACTAACCTGCAGTTTTATAAGAGTATATATTTGAAGTAGATGAATAAATGAGCAAATTAAGTTAATTTGGATATGCAGAGGATATTAAAAATAAAGTCACTGGAAAATATGGGCTTTAGCTCAGCAGAACAACATTTGTACTGCACACAGAAGGTCCAGGTTCAATCCCCAGTATCTCCCAGTAGGGCTGGGAAAGTTCCCAGTATGAAACCCCAGAGAGCCACTGCCAGTCAGTGTAGACAAAACTGACCTAGATGGACCAATGGTCTGACTCTGTATAAGACACCTTCCTGTGTTCTTGTCATCTCACACACATTTCACATTAAAAGGTGCATGATGCGACACCTGTGTGTACAGAGTACAGTGGCATCGCCTCACCTTTCTTACTTATGTCATATATATATATATATATATATATATATATATATATATGTATATATGGTCATATCCAACTCATTCCTATTTCCTGTTCCTCAGAGATTGATTCATGCACAGCCTGAAATCGTAGCTGGGAAAGTGGACTCCTCTCTCCTCTGCAAACACAGTTAGCAGGTCAGATGCTCAGAAACATTTGCTCTTCATGTGCCTGAGGCAGCCTCAGAAATATTCACAGGCAGACCAGGACTGGTTATTCAGTTCTGGCACACTTCTGCTGTTCCCCTTCTGTGCTAGACTGAAAAATCCCCCAGTGCACTCTCCCTGGCAAGAAGGGGGTTGGGGCAGCAGGAATGTGCTGAAGCATAACCACTATGGAGAGAACATAATATCGGCCTTTGGTCTCAACCAGCAGAGCCATCCTTATCATAGAGGAACTGCGCCTGGAGAGACTTCTAATGAATCATAGTTTGCCTTGAGTGGGGCTGCTTGCTCCATTTTGGCAGACTCCCACTGTCCTCTCCCTTCTATGCTAAACAGAAATGTTTGAAGCGCTTCATATTCACTGCCTGTTAGCCTTATAACAGCCCTGTAAGGTAGGGGAATAAATTAGATTTAGTTCTCCTCTGAAGGGCCGATTGATATTTTCTGAAATAATTTTAAAACCAAAGCACAGCCACCTTTCGACATTCACACTTTAATAAACTTTGCAATGCAGTTCTCCAGCCACACAGTGGGTACAAAAATGCGCTTTCGTGGGTAAAATATGCATAAAAATGCACTTATTGAAAATAACCAGCAAAAATGGGGGGGGGTATTTTGCAAGAATGTGCATATTTGGGAAGAATTGCATACAAACTCATACATGTTGTGAGAGATCTGAGTCAGATGCTGATGAATTTTCATGCTGTAAAAACAACCTGCAAACTGATGTGAAAACGTGGACAGCATTGTGTTTTTATTATACAATGTGTGAAAGAGAGAAGGATAGGGAGGGAGAACTTGAAAGAACCCAAAATTGGCAGATTTGCCCCTCTCGAAAAGTAGGGCAATGTTATTAGCGCATAGCAGATGAAGTTATTTGTGTGTTTGGATGTGTATATGAGAGAAATTTGAGCTGCCATTATGGGTTTGTGGGGGGTTAAAATTTGCCCTTGTGTCTTTACCTCTGACTAAAAGGCTGCGGGTTTTTAAAAATCTGTTTTGGAAAAACTTGCAGGCACCAACACAACTTTTCCTAATGGGCAAGTAGCTATTTTGGGAAGGGAAGTTATATTGGGAAAGTGGCACTGGAGGAAATGGTTAAATGCTCTCTTCTGTCAGTGCTGTGGTCCTAATCTGAATCCACCCCACCCCAGCTGCTTTTTACAAAAAAACAAAAAAAACAAAAACCAAAAACCAAACCCAAAAAACAGAAAGCGGGGAGATCTGATCATAGATCTCCTCTAGTTTGGTTGCCAGAGATTACAGCTTGCCCTAAAACAGGCATGGGACTGATTTTTCAGCACGAAGACCACAAAAACGGGTGGCGCAATCAATATAAATGTTACCTTTATACAGTAGGCTAGTTTCTACACATTCATGGGGTAGTGTACTGCCTAGGCTGATTTGAACTCTCAGTAACAGTTCACAGTCCCTTTTCAAGGCTATCTGTGGCCTCTCAGTGCTGGACAAGGTTTTGCAGAGTAAATTTATGCATAGTACAAAGTACAGTGGTGCCCCGCAAGACGAATGCCTCGCAAGACGGAAAACCCGCTAGACGAAAGGGTTTTCCGTTTTTGAGTTGCTTCGCAGGACGAATTTCCCTATGGGCTTGCTTCGCAAGACGAAAATGTCTTGCAAGTCTAGAGATTTTTTTTTCGCTTTCCCCCCCCTTTATCTAATCTGCTAAGCCTTTAATAGCCTTTAATAGCCTTTTAGCAGCTAATCCCCTAAGCCTTTAAGCCTTTAATAGCCGCTAAACCGCTAATAGCGCTAATCCGTTAAGCTGCTAATAGGGTTGCTTCGCAAGACGAAAAAACCGCTAGACGAAGACTCTCGCGGAACGGATTAATTTCGTCTTGCGAGGCACCACTGTAGAACCATTTTAGCAAGCTGCAACAGGGAGGTTCTGGGGAGTGACCCCCTGGCCCCAATCCTGACCCCTGGTGTCTTGATTTTTCACTGGCAAAATTTTGGAGGTTTTGCACACCAGAGAGTGTCAGTTTGATCACATACACCAGATGAAGATGAGCAAGGGAGGGGCCAGGGGCATTTGGGCAGGCTTGCTGTCTGCAGGGGTCTTTCTACTGCTACCTGTAGCTTTGGGAACAAGGCTCTGGGGCTCTGAGAGACAGGTGTTTGGAAGCCTGCTTGGCAGAGCCTTTCCTGCACTAGCAGATATTCTTGGTCTGTTGAATTCCTCTACCTGCCACAACGCATTATTTCCGCTGGGCTGAGGAGACACAGCATTATGGGGATTTGCCTGGGGGCCAGCGCCACGTCAAGAGATTTTGCACCTGTGCATGGGAATTGCTGGATCCCTTTGCCACAAGAAGCCTTGAGAAAAGGAGCCAGATGCAGGGCAGGGAGCGAGGAAGGCCAAGCAAAGGGGAGAGAGGTTTTTTGGGGGTAGAGGGTGGAAGCAAAGGAACAAGAGCACCCGAGAACAGAGAAACCAAAAGGGGAGGAGGAAGGAAATAAGCAATGAAGCAGCATTATTTGGTTGGAGAACTGCCTTGCAAAATTCAGCATTCCATTTCATGTACTGAAATAAGTTTGCCTTTAAATGCAAACAGAAGCAAACGTCTCCTCCATCCTTATACTCAGACCAGCTGGGCTTGAGTGTCCGAAGTTCCAGAAAATACAGTCCCCTCTTTTGCTGCTTCTGTTTGCATTTAAAGGCAAACTTATTTCAGTACATGAAACAGAATGCAGCCATCCTTTGAAATTCAAACATCTCTGAATTTTGCAAGGCAGTTCTCCAACCAAGTAATGCATACAAAATTGCACATAAAGTTTGTATTCAAATGTAGATGTTAGTAAAAAAATAACATACAAATGTGCCTGATATTAGGGTAAATCACTTGGGGGGAGGGAAGTGTATATTAGGCAAAACCACGTAGAAATTTTTTTGTTTAATTAGTGCTAAAAAGCTGGTGAATTTTCATATTTGTTAAAAAATCTGAAAACTGATGTGGAAATATAAAGAACCGAACATTTATCAGAAAAATGAGAAACTGAGAGAAACTGAAACGGTGAGTTTCGTCCATCTCTACCTGAGAACACTGGTGCAGTTAGGTAATTTGAAACTCTGGATTTAATAGCCCCCCCCTCTCTCTCTGTGTGTGTGTGTGTGTGTGTGTGTGTGAGAGAGAGAGAGAGAGAGAGAGAGAGAGAGAGAGAGATGGCAATGTCTATTACTTCAAATGGTCTCATGGGGTACAGGGTGAGGAATCTCTATCAGCCCGAGGGTCTCATTCCCTCCTTAGCAACCTTCCAAGGGCCACATGCCAGAGGCAAAAGTGGGAGGGGCAATCAATGCAAATGTTACCTGTACAATAGGCTGGTTTATGCACATAGTGCCACATACCTCTCACTATCCTCCACCCAGACAAGCAAGAGGCACCATCCGAGCTTAAGGGACACATTCCAGCCAGGCAAAAACAGCTGGAGTCTGAAGCAGGGCGAGTGAAGGTTATGGGCCGAGGGAGATGGGCCTGGGGAGAGGTCCCAGGGCCACATGCAGAGGCTTGGAGGGCTGCATTTGACCCTGGGCCTGCAGTTCCCCATGTCTGCTTTAGCTGATAATATGTATTACAGTGGTACCTCGGGTTACAGCTGCTTCATGTTACAGATGCTTCAGGTTACAGACTCCGCTAACCCAGAAATAGTACCTCAGGTTAAGAACTTTGCTTCAGGATGAGAACAGAAATTGCGCGGGGGCAGCGGGAGGCCCCATTAGCTAAAGTGGTACCTCAGGTTAAGAACAGTTTCAGGTTAAGAACAGACCTCCAGAACGAATTAAGTTCTTAACCCGAGGTACCACTGTACTTCAAAATGTGACAATCCATCCCTGCAAGTCCTACTCTGTTAGCAGATTGTTGGAGCCTGCAAAGCGCTTTGCAGGCACCACTGACCACCTGATCAGTGGTGCCTGCAAACCCCCTTTTGACAAAGCCATACCTTCACCTACCCCAGACCTGATGTCATACATGATGCCAATTGTAGAGGGAAGTGGGTGTAGCTTTTCCTTGTGGGCCAAACAGGGAGGCCTGGCAGACCCAATGAGGCCTGTGGGCTGCAGGTTCCCCACAGCACAGGAAGACAATTCCCTGCCCCGAAGGGGCTGCAATCTAAAATTCTACATGGGGCGGCAAACGAGGGAGAGGAGGGCGACAGCGATCATGATAAATTCAAATACAACTTGAAATACAACTTCATTCTAAATGTACATTTAGAAATCAGGATTTGTGTATACTCTGACAAAAACAGCGGGGAGGGGAGGTTGAGATTCAGAAACTGGAGTGCAGGGTAGGGGGTTGGAGCACTGTGGAGGAAGGGGTGTGACTCAGTGATAGAACACCTGCTTTGCTTGCAGAAGGTCCTGGGTTCAATCCCAGGCATCTCCTGGAACTCTGCCTGAAACCCCGGAGAGCTGCTGCCATTCAGTGTGGACAATACTGAGCTACGTGGACCAGTGGATCAGCACCTGCAGTATGTTCCTGTCATAGCTGTCAACGTTTTCCCTTTTTTAAGGGAAATTCCCTTATTCCGAATCGGATTCCTCGGAAGAAAAGGGAAAAGTTGACAGCTATGATTCCTGTGCTCATCTCAGCCTCCCTTTTATTGTTCTCTCTGCAACAGAGTGACATGGCGACCCCTCTGAAATCTGCTAATCCAGCAAAGGTTGTTAGACAGCAGAAAATGTGTTCCAAGAGTGCTGATATTCCTGGCAGCCAGCAAGGTACGCCAGCAACCCGTGCAAAAGGGAAGGTTCTGTAGCTATTCAGCAGAAATAGCTGAAGGGGGTGTATGTCTCTGGGGGAAACCTGTTCTGCAAGAATCTGGGTAGTGTCCAGCCTCACTTGACCACCAGGCGTCACTAGTGCTTCGGCTGAGGCAGCTGCTTCTCAAGGGGTGAAAATTATCTTCCTTTATAAGGTTCAGAATCTGCCCCACAGCTTTTGCACAATGTTTGGTTATAAAGCACTCTTCACCAGGCCAGAGTTGAAATCCAACCCACTTGGAAGCTGGCAGAGGCTGTTATGACACCATCCCAAGATGATCAGAGTCGCTTTTGTCAATCCAGAAGGCAGGCATCAAGCCTGAGCTGTAGGAAATGGGGCAGACATTGCCTTGGTCAGAGCAGCAAATGGCGCTTCCCCCAAAACCAATTCGTGTATGTATTTCATATTTTAAGTCTGAGCTTCAGCGCTTCAGCACCCAGGACAGAAAACTCCACAAGGACTTCTCCCCATCTTCTTTCTTATCTGATTAATAAGCTGAGTAACAATTTGCTCCATTTTATGAAACCCCAAATCAACTGCTGGGAAGATGCCTGTTTAACTGAGACATTTGGAATCCGAGGATACTCAAGGATACCTGGGCAGCACCCAGCAGCATTAAAACCACGGTGAATCATAAAAATGTAAAAGGAAAGGAAATAAAACAGTATCACAAGGATTTAAGAGACCAGAGTTCTAATCCCCACTTAGCCATGAAACTCACTGGGTGACCTTGGGCCAGACACTGCCTCTCAGCCTAGCCTGCCTCACATGGTTGTTGTGAGGATAAATTAATAATAATAATAATAATAATAATATAGTTATTATTAATTGAAAACAAACCACAGAAGCAAAAATAAAGTATCACCAATGCACTTCATCCCCCCCAAACCAGCAAAGAGACGGTTCCAAAGTACATTTCTGACAGTTAACCTTGCAGACCAGCAGCACATCAAACGTTCCCAGTTCTAAATGGATCAGGATTTCAGGATTTATTATTATTAAAGCTACTCTCTTTTAAATTTTAAAAAATAATAAATTGAAGAATGAATAGTTGCATCTGTTTGGGACCTAAAAGTGAGGCGCAGTGACCAAGAGAATATGGTTGGTGGGTTTACAAGTGTGTCCTTTATTTCTAGCTTGTAAATGTTGGATGGAAAACATGACATGAGATCGGGACTGTTTAGCAGATTCTCACGTCTGTGTTCTGGTTTGCCATGTTTGAGCATCGCAACACTAGCCAGGCTCACATTGCCCCATCTCTGCATCAGGAAAAGGGATGAGGTGCAATGGACTCATAGACTACCCACAAGGGAAGCTGTCAGTTCCAGGTATTTGTTACCATTACCCTTCTCCAGGTGACCAACTTCACTTGGGATGTTCTAGTTCTTGTGAAACAGAAACGGCCACCCCCAGGGACCAAGAGGGAAAGTGCAATAATGAGATCAGACAGCTGTGGAGATAGGGGTGGTGGCAGCAAAGATGCTGAACTCATAACACCTACAATTCCAGCAGGATCTTCAGCTCATTAATGGGAAGCGCTGCAGAGATGGGGCAAAGATTTATGGGTTTATTCCTCAACCACTGAAACCAATCATTAATGCTATTTGTTTCCCTAGAAGCCTTCCAGATTTTTTTTAATTTAAAGACGACTAGAAGCTTGTGGGTGCTTTTGTAATAGCTGCTTATATACAAGAGGAGCATGGGGTTGGGGCATGCCAGATTCAGCGGGCAGTACGAGTCAGTCCCCCCTCAAAGCTACCCCAAAGCTTCCCTACCTCCTTCCAGGGCCTTCTTGTCAGCCATTTGCAAAGATACAAACTTTATCTTTCCACAGGCCTTCTTTCCAAAAGGCCAAACACTCTTTCTCCAGCCTGAACAAAGCAGGTGAGGGGCATCTAACAGTCATCAGCTACCAATCACCAGTGCTGATTTAAGCCATCAACACACAGTAAGGAAACTTCTTTAGCTAACAGCTGTACAAAAAGCTCAGTGAGAAGTTGGCACGCTAATTCTGTTCCTCACAAAAGCACACCCCAATACAGTGGTACCTCGGGTTACAGACGCTTCAGGTTACAGACTCTGCTAACCCAGAAATAGTACCTCGGGTTAAGAACTTTGCTTCAGGATGAGAACAGAAATCACGCGGCAGCAGCGCAGTGGCAGCGGGAGGCCCCATTAGCTAAAGTGGTGCTTCAGGTTAAGAACAGTTTCAGGTTAAGAACGGACCTCCAGAACGAATTAAGTACTTAATCCGAGGTACCACTGTACATAATGCAAGTGGAACGATCACATCTACATCACCAAAAAAAAGGGAAAGCATCACCACCCTCCAAAAGAGGACACAGCTTTCTATAAAAGTTGCATGTGCTAAAAAAGAAGGTGCTCCTCTGCCTAAAAGTGGCATAGGCTAATTTGAGCATTTAAAAAAACCCTCACCAATTTAAACAGAAAAACATCTCATCACCATGGAGAAGGATGCAGCTTGAAGGTGGGGTTCAGCTCAACACAATAATACAATAAACACACACCATCTTCCTCCAGGAGTATCAAGACCAGAGTCTAAAATCACCTCACTGTACCATAGAGGACAGGTCTTCTGCAGCTTAAAGAATTGTAAGGAAATGGAATTTCAGTCAGAGCTGTTTTTCTCCTCCTTCCCCCGACCACACCTAGGTGGGTGTGGCCCAGAAGACGGCCTTCTCTGTGGCAGCCCCTAAGCTGTGCAATTCCCTCCCCACAAAAGTACACCTGGCACTGTCATTGTACTGCACCCTGGCCTTTGACACCCAAGGTGCACATTACTAGGACCCAGCCTATTCTTCTGATTGTAAATGCTGGTTGTGGGAGGAAGGGTATTGTTTTGGTTTGTTATGTATTTTGTGGTTTTATCCTGTATTTTTTATGCTGTGAACCACCCTGTGATCTTCGAATGAAGAGCGGTATACAGAGTTAATTAAATAGTTTTAGCTGACTCTGTGTGTGCGTGTGTGTGATGGTTTTATGACCATCCTGGGACCTCGTGGTGAAAGGCAGGTAAGAAACCCTAATTGAACCACCACCACAGGACGAGCTATGCCTCCAGTTCCCCGCTCATCTCCATGCTTTGTTAATAACCAGCACTTTGTTAAGACCATTAACTCTTCACTGCTTTCCACAATAAACACTTAAAAGCTTGATCTGTTTCTACCCCAGGCTACAAAAAACAGCAAGTGCAAAGCTTTTGCTAATAGCCAAGGAAGGCCTGGGAGCCAATAACCCCACAAGTCATTGGGATAAATGGTTGGTATTGATCGGTGTTTATTTCTGCGGTGTTTCAGCTGGGGGAAAACCCAGCCTGCTGTTCCCATCCTCAGCTTGAACCTTTCACTTTTGACATGAAAATGAAAGAGGTGATGAACCCACAAATAGAGATTTGTGGGGAGAAATTTAATTCAGTTTGCACTTAAAAGCGAGGCTACCTGGTTTTGCGCTTTACAAAAACAAAATGTGAAGTGAAAGGCAGCCACCCATCAAAATTTGCATTAAAATGTGTATATTTGCTGATGAATTTTCATGAGGACTTAAAAAAAAACAAATCACAAATTGTTATTGAAAAATATCGAGAACTGAATTTAAGACTGGAAAATGAGAAACTGAAAGAAATCAAATTGAACAGATTTGCCCATTCCTACCCATCAAGCAATGAGGTTAGGGAGACGGTTGTTCACTCAAAATATCTCCCAGCAACATGGCAAATAATCAGGGCAACGTGAGTTGCAGTGTCGCGTTCTGATCCGGTGAAGGAGCCCACAGAGTGAGACTGATCAGGACTTGCAGAACCATGGAGAGCTCCAAGTAAGCCACTTGCTCCGACAGCAGACTGAGCCTTTTAAAGCTCTCCCAGGCTCCGCCCCCTTGTGGAGCATCTAAATTCTTAAAGGGCCAATGTGCTGGTCTGAAAATAGGCACTTCTCCTACTTTCCATGGTCTCCCACCTTTGCCGCTAGATGACTCTTCGGTTCCTTCCAGCTCTACATTTCTATGATTCTATGAATGTGTGAATCAGAATGTAGATGCCTTTCAGACTGCACTTCTCTCCAAATTTCTGATAACAGTTCTGAGCACCAAAGAATGCAACCAAAAATGTTGGAAATGTGTGTTTTAGGATAAAAAACATACATTGTGAAATAGACACACTGAGGTAAGATACATATTTAAGTATATCATGTGTGATCAAAATATTAAACTTGTGTAAATCTACCCACCTCAAATCCTATCAATGGCAAAGGCAAATGAATAAATAAGAACAAAGTTCATTGTGGGCCTCCAGTTTTAATTCTGCAGCAACGAACCTTAGTTATCAATATTTAATTATTTAAACGTCTTTATAAATGACTTAATTTAGAAAGGCAGGAGATCTGAACACAGATCTCCTTTCGTTTGGGCCTGCGAGATTGTCGCTTGCCTTAAAACAGGTGTGGGAATGCTTTTCAGCTTGAGGGCCACACTCCTTTCTCAGCAACCTTTAAGAGCCACGTGCCAGTAGGGTCAGAGGCAAAAAAAAGTGAATAGAGCAATGAATGTAAATGTTACCTTGGTCCAGCACTGAGGGTCTTTTGGCAGTTCCCTCGCTGCGAGAAGCC